GTTTCTATAGGTCTAAGTAATATGTAGTTACTACCTTGGTCCATCTATGCCTGTCAATGGATCGGGTATATACTCTTATACGTAGTATATTATTTGAACACTTGTAACATTTATTTTTGTATTTAACCTTTTTTGTACAACTATAGTATTATTATGTGTAATATATTTGAACATTTTGGCCCCACCTGTATTGAAATCCTGGATTAGCCCTCCCTCACCTCATCCCCCAAAGTAAAAAAAAAAATCAAACAAAAGAACAAATGAAGCTTGTGATCAAAATGTGTGCATATTCATGATAAAAAAAAGTGTGCATATTCAATACGTAGTATATTCTATTGAGAGAATTTAATGCATCACTTCAAAATATCGTGTTATTATTTTAATGCATACATTAATTGGAATCCTTTTAAGTAAAAAAAAAAACTATAAAAAAATATCGTGTTATTATTTTAATCCTTTTTTTTTTGGAATCCTTTTAAGTGATATATACTTAGAAACTGTGAAAAACAGAAAGTATTTCTTCCCTATATGGGAATTGACTTTTCAGATTTTCCTTTTTTACTTTCATGGTTTCGGTTACTACTTCCACATTCATTACGTACCTAGTAATCTAGTATAAAGTTATTGTATAAACTATAAAGTGTGACTTCATGTTCAACGAAAGAAGATCTAATGTGGTGCTGAAGCACTGTCATGTTCTTATACAGTATTATTTTTGGAAAACTCCGAATGAAATTCCTTTACTATTTTCACTACATATGAATAGATTGAAAACCTGATATTTCATGGAAAAATATTTTGAGAATACGGAAAACTGTCAAATAGGTCCTCGAACTTTCATAAAAAAGTCAATTAAGTCCTTCTATAGGAGACTCTGTCCGGTCTTCGCGATTTGGGGCGGTTTCCGGTGGAATTTTTTGATGACATTTTTTGAGCATCTTATTCATCAAGTCTAGTTTACTCATACCAAATTTCAGCTAAAAATTTAATCGGGAGCGCATACAAATTAATTCGAGAACGCAAAAATGCACAGCTATCTTCAAGAATTAATTTGAATGTGTTCCCGATTGAATTTTTAGCTGAAATTCGGTATGAATAAACTAGACTTGGTGAATAAGATGCTCAAAACATTTCATCAAAAAATTCCACCGGGAACTGCCCCAAATCGCGACGGCCGGACAGAACCTCCTATAGAAGGACTTAATTGACCTTTTTATGAAAGTTCGAGGACTTATTTGACAGTTTTCCCTTGAGAATATTTTGAGAATAGTGTTACTTGTTCAAGGGTCACGAATGGGGTTAAAAGAATATATTAGCCCGGGTGTTATCCCCGGTGTTTTATTTTGCCAATATATATATAATAAATTGATTTTTAAATTTTTTGTGTAGAATTCGAGGATCCCTTTCAATATACACATTATATCATGGCGAATTAAGATATTTTTACTTCGACTGAAATTTACTAGTCTGGTCTGGTCTATTAAAGTCTGGTCTGAATTGGTTTGATTTGGTCCGATATGATAAACGTCTAGTCTCTATGTATTTTATAACTATAGAAGTCTGGTTTGATTTGGTCTGAACTGGTCAAATCTAGTCTGGTCTGTTTAAGTCTGGTCTGAAACTGAAAACAGTTCAAGTAAAAACATCATTAAACTAAGCTACAAATTTTAACATCATAATTATACCGTACACCCGGTTGTACGGTGCTCACCATACAATCGGATATTTTTCCAATAAATTACAACTTCAATGGTTAAGGTCTTCCCTGTTTTGCTGGTCGTTGATGTCCTAGGATCGGTGAAGGAGACGCAGACGCCGATCGATGTTGTCTGCTCGCTGAACTCCAGGAGTTCTGATCGGTGCTTGACTGCTGCTCATTCGCTGCGCTAATGGAGGAAGTCTTCTCGTTGCGCTCGTTGAAGTCTTCTAGCTGAAGAAGGACGTACGTTGTGGGCTTGTGTTTTAGTTCGAAGAGAAAGTCTTCCTCCCATATTTTAGTTCCTGGAATCCCACAAATTTCAACTTCTATTTTAATAATAATGTATTTTAATATATTGTAATATTGCATGTTAATATTTTCAACTTATTAATTACTAAAATAAGTTTTATGTTATAATGGAAATGAGTATAGTGTTTATAATAAATGTGTATAACGGTTAAAAGATTTGAACATACATAATTGAATATTTGAGCACGTTAAAAAAATTAAATGAGCATAAGAAAATTTGAGCATACTAGACAATTCAAATGAGGTACACAAATGAAAACTTGAGCGTATTGTAGATTTTAAATGAGCTTATTGAACTTTTGGTTGCTCATTTCATAAGTAATGTATGCTCATTTGGTATTTGTACAATGCTCATTTTAAAATGTTTCACATTTCAAACGTATCATATTATATTATGTTAAACTCGATGAGTATAAAGCCCAAAATGAATGAGCATACACAAATGAGGTTTTGAATTTTTTGATACTCATTTTGTAACTTATGTATACTTATTTAGTACCTCTTTTTGCTCATTGTAAAATGTTGCACACTTTAAACATATCATATTACATTAGAATCACATATTGAAATTAATTGCAATTGATTAAAGACATAATTTTAGAGTTTTTATAAACGAAAAAATAATAAAAAGAAAACAAATTAGATATATGAAGCAGAGGACACTGATGCTCATTCTTGGAATCCTAATACTCAAAAGAGCAGACTTGATGCTCAACACAATTGTGTTAATGCTCATTCAAGAGAAGTCGTATTTTTCTCAAAATTGCAAAAATGCCACCGGCTGTACGGCTGGCACCGTACAACTGGTGGTATAGTATACGCACCACCGACATGTTGTAGTGTTATGATTAAATATGTACGTAAATTTATTTAGGTATCTAGATGTTAAAAAACACTAAAGACATTATTTTATCCAACGGGTTAAGCCGGGCCACACTGACTCAGAACTAATGGGTTTGGTCCGGGCCGGGTTGAGCAAGAATTTTGTTATAAAAATGTAGCCCTAACTTGTCTATATAGTTTGGCTTAATGGACTAGGTCGGGCTAGCCCACATGTCACCAAGAGGAATTGGCCTAGATGGACTTACATGAAAAATATAAAAATTCTTTATGCATTATAAAATAAAATGCAATCAACGGAAGAATGTGCAAAGAATTTATTACTTCAAAAAGTGTAATAATACATAGTAAGTTCAAATTATCTATATCTAAGTTTTGTATGGTGCATTCTTGAAAAAGAAATTACAACTATGGACATACCACATGTAGTCTTCTATATCTAAATTTCTCAAGCTCTATCACAAATTTTACCACCTAATAATCATCTGGAACTTCATTCTTCTATACCGTTACTCATTGCTTTTAACTATAAAATTATTGTATAAATTAATAATGTAAAAAACGGCTTCTGGACTGGGTTTAGTTGGACTTAATATCTCGGGTCGGGATGGGTCATGATGAGTCGAGCTGATTTCAAGTACTCTGCCCCATGCACAACCCTTCAAATAGTGGTTTGGGCCATTATGATACAGTGATTGAGCTCTTTTTCTTATGAGATCATCTCATGAATTTCTAAATTGAAATAATTTGAGGCTATTTTTCGATATATTTTCTATTAATTAAAAACTAATGATCATTTAATAAAAGGAAAATTGATAGTAATAATTCCAATTATTGGCGGTCCGCCCATGATAATCCCAACTATCGATTATTTCAGAATAATCCCAACTTTAGGGAACTTCCGCCAATAATGGTCCCTATAAATAAATTCTTGTAGTTTCTAAAGTGGATGAGAAGACATATAGCAAATAATCCCTATAAATAATCTCATCTTTTAATTTTTACTCTTAATTTCTATTTAAAATTCATTTTTATAGGAGGTAATATCTGGTCATAGACCATTATTAGCGGATGGTCCATATAATTGGGATTATACAAAAGTAATCAATAGTTGAGATTATTGTCAGCGGACCCGCAAAATTTGAGATTATTATTTTCAATTTTTCCTTAATAAAATTTAATTTTTTTGCTCACATAAAAAAGATGCAGATCATATCAGAAAGATTTTGATTAGATCAACAAGACTCAAATTGGATCAGATAAAATATATTCAGTTTAGATCATATCTTAAGAAATTTGAACATAAACATTCAGATCAGATGATCGAACAAAATACCTTTTAGCATTGATATTTATATTGAAAAGTATCAATTAACACAAGTATCTTAAAAATGTGATGAATAAGAATGTTCTTAAATTTCCTGGTCTGGTCTGGTCTGAACTGATCTGGTCTGGTAAATGTGTGATCTCTATGTATTTTTTAATTATTCAAGTGTGATCTGGTATGAGACTGAAAACTTTCCAAGTAAAACATTTTAACCATATACTCCGTATTTGATGGCTCAGGATGACGGGAGAGCTGCCGAACGTGCACAGGGATAACCTGATTAGTTCTCATATTTCACCAAGTGATTTTCATTTGGATTGAATTATATACCACGTATAATTCAATCTCACTCGCACATTCACACAATCACACACATAAGTTTTTTGTTTTGCAAATACATTTAACAATTTGTTTATAGACCCAACGATCTAACTAATTAGCTCGAACAAGTTTCCTATTTTAATGAAAAAATGCAGAAGGAAAGGTTACTTTCTTTCTTATTTTCCTCTTAGTAATGGAATCTACAAGGTAAAATTGACTAGATTTACTTGTTGACCATATGTGGGGAGAGCATGTGTTTCAAAATACTAATAATAGACAAAGGCCCTTAAAGTGTGGGAAAAAAAAAAAAGAATTCTTCAAAATGAGCTCTGCATTTATTAATAAAAATATAAATTAGGAAGATGTTTTTTTAATAAATTTAGTTCCAAAATTAAGTTTTTCTTTCCATGATGGGGATTGGTGCACTGTTTGATCTTGTCTTATAGTGAACGCCATTTCTTCCTCTATATAAGACTCCAAACAGCAATTTCAAACGACCCTTAACCACCCCAAGTTTCATTTCCTTCCCCTTCTTCTACGGTCAATTCAAGCTATCATAACAAATTTTAATGGAAGAAATGGCCTCTTTATGGAGCTATCAAGAGGTATGCACCAACTATATACTAATATACCTCTCATAAAATATTTACTGCAATTTGTTTCAATATGGGCAATAAAATGAACGATTTTAATATATTTATATCGTTAGAATCTTTATCCTTTGGATTTCATTTAGTTAATAAATACAGAATTCATTTTAGATTCCCATCATTTGATTGATTTCTGATAATCTGAGCAGACTATGGATGAGATGAGGCAGAAGCTTTTGTACACAACTATTGAACTGCAAAGGTTGAAAGCTCAATCAAGGGAAGAAACAAGGAAGAGCAAAGAATATATGGACCAATTGGTTCAGCTTGTCCACACTGTCATCAGGGAAAGAGATGAAGCAAGAAACCACATTCAGAAGATTCTCAACAGCAGCTGCCATAGACATGCAGCAGGTAGAGCAAATTCCGGGCTGACCGAATCAAACAATAGCCTCTCCGACACGCAGAACCACTACTGTTCATCCCCGGTCGAGTCCTTGTTGGATCCGGTCTCTTCCCCGGTCGAGTCCAACAGCAACGTTCACCAGCGGGTGGTGCACGGTGCTGGTGGGTTGCTCGACCAGGGCAGTTTGGTAATTGATAGTCTTGCGAAGGGTAAGCCCTTGCCCGAGAAAGGGAGATTCCTGAACGCTGTGCTAGAGGCGGGTCCGCTCCTCCAGACGCATCTCCTCGCGGGCCCGCTCCCGAGGTGGCGTAACCCGCCTCAGCTTAAGGCGTTCCACATCCCGCAGGTTTCTCTCCGAAACTTTATCGGGGATGAGGATGAGGTTCTTGCAGCCCATTCAAGAATGGTGATGCTCAACAATGGAGGTGCTTCACAGCAGCCTTATTTTGAGATGTCCTGTGGATCTTCACAAATGCATTCATCTTCTGCAATGTTGAACTTTGGCAATAACCTTGCTTCTGGATCGTGCGGTGGAAACCAGGTGTTGATATCTGCAGGGTCAGATGTTGACTGCTATGGCCATATGGGAAAAAGACAAAGGCTCCTTTGAAAGATAATGCTTTGGTTGAATAGAAATACATATATATTATTTGTATAAAAGGAGAAACAGAGGAGATTTGAGGGCAGGTTTGGGTGATGTAAATGGGATAGATTCATATTTGAGTTTGAGTGGCATACTACATGTAGCCCCCCTTTTTTAACCTTTTAAACAGATTTTTAGAGTTTTGCTTACTTCCTTAGCCCATTATTCTAACAACCTTTGTTTGATGCTTGATGCTTGGGAGTTGGGACACTTCAGCTTTGTAAACTAAACAAAAGAATAAAAACTATCCTAATCGGCCGAAAAAATAAAAACTACTCTGTATAATACTCTAAAAATCAAACAATTCAAATTGAGATTACATTGTTTCAAAATAGAAAAATAACTAAGAATAACCGTTCAAAGAAAAGTTGAGAGTTTTGGTGATTTATCCTACTTGTTACAAGTTTCTTCATCATATTTTTGTTCATTTTAGTAGCACAAAATGTTTTTGTTCATATCGTTTTTAGCACATTGTTAGAAATGTGACACAAAAACGTTTTTGTTCATATCGTTTATGCGTAGTACGTAGTATTACATTACATGTTATCTACATTTTATAAAGTTAATATGCTTAACCTCATAGAATCATTCGTTTTTTTTAAAACATAGAATCATTCGTTAAATACTTAAATCTATCATAAATAACACAATTTTGTTTTATATATGTAAATTGAGTTAAAATGTAGATTAAGTGAAGTAAACTATTGGTTATTTGTTCTATAACTTCTATTGCATTTTGCAATTACTATTTGAGAATGTTATCAGTATAATCGGGTTTGATCAGGTTAACAGAATTGGGAAAAGTTCAACCTATTTGGAATCAAGTAATGAACAAAAGAAGGCTAAAACATATAAAAAGGAATATAGGCCGCTATACTAGATTGGGTTGAACACGTGGGATGGCCTGTAATGAGTTAACTTTGACTAAAGGTAAAAAAAAAAAGAGGCGCCTATTCGTTGGTCTGTTTCCGCTCACATGCATGTGGTGCGTGAATACCGTAATAATTCCTAATAAATACCCAAGGAAAAAATAACGTTATATATGGAGTATGTGCTTTGACGTTTAAATCTTCCATTTTGCCAAGGCAATTGATCAATTTAACTCAAAATATGCTCATTTTTATACGGTTTATTTGGACAAACAACAACAACACACAAGCCTTAATCCCAAAAGATTTTAGAGCCGGCTAACATAAATCGATCCATGATATCGACGCCAAAAAGAGAAGACAAACAATTAAGAAGAAAAAAATGATAAAACGAATATGATAAAGATAAATAAATACTCCGTATAAGATGACAATAACATAAGAATATTAGAAAGATAAAAGATTAAAAGATAAAAGAGTATAAAAAGCTAAAAGATAAAAATAACATAGGAACATAAAAAATAAAGAAGATAAACGATAAAAGAAAAAGAGTGAGGAAAAAAAGAAAAGAGATCAATCGTCCACACGAATGTGCGCCCTCCACTTTGCCCTCTCCAAAGCCAAACTCTCATTCAACTTAAGAAGACGCATATCAGTTTTAATTGCTCTAATCCAAGTCTCTTTGTGTCTTCCCCACCCTCTCCTCTTTGTCTCTTCTCCCCATCCCTCAAATCGTCTAACAGGTGCATCACTCGATCTTCTACGCACATGCCCAAACCACCGCAAACAAGACTCTTGCATCTTATCTTCTATAGGTGTTACCCCCACCTTTTGTGTGATTAAACAATTCATCAAGCGGTCTTTTCTGGTATGTCCACACATCCAACACAACATACGCATCTCTGTCACACTCATCTTTTGAATGTGACATTGTTTTACCACCCAACACTTTACGACATACATTAATGCAGACCTAATTGATGTTCAATAAAATTTCTCTTTCAGTCTAGTCGGCATATCTTGACCGCATAGAATTCCTGACGCACCCTTTCATGTCATTCAAGCATGACGTTCTGTCAATCATTCGAGCATATCTTTTTGTAGAAACATCCAAAGTACACGATTCAAGTTCCATATAAAAGATAACCTCAAGGGACAAAAATCATATGAAGACACCATGACGATAATCGGAGAGGAGCAAGATGAAGACAGACGAAGAAGTCAGATGATCGCTATTGAGATTTCAGGATGCGACCTTCCATCATTTTATTCATATCTTTTGATTGGATGATCCAAAGCCAGTTTTACAAGTTGCAGTGGCTAGAGGACTTCGTTATCTACAACTTTGATAAAGGATGTATAGTCAAATTCGGAAAGGAAAGGAGTACGCCGTGCGCCCGAAGTACGCACATTGTGCGCAAAAGAAGAAATCACGCAGGAGCTACTGTCAGGGAGGCACGTCGTGCCTGCCTTGCCAGTCACGCTGTGCACGACACTTTTTCATCATATTTCCGCCCTCGAGTGTCCTATTTCGGCCTGGATTGATCTATTTTCTATTTAAACACCCCATAACCCCCGTTTTTTACGAAGCTTAGAGAGAGGCCTGGGACGAAATTTTGAGTACCTTTCCGCTTTGTTATTCAAGATCCTTGAATTGTTTGTAAGTTCCATCTTTCAAATTAATGACGTAAGGGAACATGGATTAATTCCGGGGTAATTAGATTTCTGGTTGATCAGGCTTAATCACATGAAAATTATTTAATTGAGCAACGCTAATCGATACTAAGTTCAAACCGCTCTCGCGGCATAGAGTACAATAATTTAGAGGATCAGACTGATCTCTCATTGATGTGAGTTTTCTCTCACTTAAAGAGATTGTAATATAGTGGTGAAAGTACGAGTATCGTCTCCACGGGGACGAACAAAAGAGAATCAAGAATTAATTAAATTCAGCGATAAAGAATAAATAAAATAAATGCGTCGTGCGAGATATGATTGGTGTGAAAAATTAAAATGCAACTAAACAATTAAAATAAATGCTTGGTTTCTTTCTAATTAACGGCGAAGGGAACAAGGATTGATTCCGGGAAATCAGATTTCTGGCAGATCAGGCCTAATTTCATGAATTTAATTTAATTGAGCCTAGCTAATCATTACTAAGTTCTTACCGCTCTCGCGGCGTAGAGTACAATAATTTAGGGGACCAGGCCGATCTCTCATGCGACAGGATCTTAAATTATTGCCAAGACAAGCGAGCTTACGGCCCCTTAGTCGTTACTAATCTCTTAGCGAACGACTAAGTGTGTGTGAATGTGTCCTAGAATAAATTAGATCTCTCTTATCTTATTCTACAAGCAATTGTAATTCTAGCCGCAGTTCCAGGTTACAAAAGATATCAATTAATTTATTCAAACACAAATTAAACGGCATTCATGCAATTAAACCGACAAGAATCTAGCCATAAATCATGATTAACCCCTTCATCAATCCCAAATCCCTAATTAAAACTACTCGCAATTCATAATTGAATAATCAACGGAATTGGGATGAATAGAAATAATTGTCATTAATTAAAAAGATAAAACTTACAAAGAATCCCTTAATCTTGAAGAACATGGCTTGAAAAGCTCTCAAAAATCGAAATAGGGTTTATCTCTCTAAGCTCATAAGTCAAAAACAAGCAAAATAGGGGCCTATTTATAGAAAAACTCAAAATCTGGCCGAAAATCAGCCCGCACGGTCGTCCCGCACGCCGTGCGGGTCACAGCGCGGGTACGCGCACGTTTTTTTCGTCTTCCGACTTTCGCTCCGCCCGCGCGGTGTGCGGGCACCGCACTATGCAACCGCGCGGGTACTTCTGGTGGCTATTTATGAACCGCACGGTGTGCGGTTTCGGCCCGCGCGGTGTGCGGTTCAGACCCCTCAACTTGCTCTCAGAATCGCCCGCGGGGCGTGCGGAACCGCACCGCGGGGCGCGCTGTCACGCCCCGGACCTACCGGACACGTCAACAACCCGCCGTACAGTACGAATAGTCAACCGCAGTCCAACTCATCCATACTATACTAGGCGTCTTGAATACCATTCACAATAGTACATCCATAAACAATCATAATGTAAAATATTTAATTACGCAGCGGAAACATTAATACAAGTATTCAAGCCACACGTGGCAAACACGGGCATACAAGCCCCCAAATAAATATTCAAAATAATATCCATGAGCATTTATTTAAATGTTTTTAAAATAGATACGGAGGAAGCACGAACCACGTCTTCTCTCCTTCAAGCTTCCCAAGCAACGGCAAAGATAGCGAGCTTTATCCCCTACCTGAAACTGTGAGGTGGCCTCCCCCGTGAAGGGGAGGTCAGTACTTGGAAGCATTTGACAAGTACAATGACAACTATACTAAGTATAATCAAAGTTTCAATTTCCAAGACCCTCACATAGAGTGATAATATAATAGGTCATAACCCATGGTTACCCTCTTTGAAAATATACTTACTATATATATAAAGTCAAGTAGTCGGCCCGAAGACCTATGTTTTCCTTGAAAACGTTCAACCCTTTCCCCGTGACTTCAAGCCACGCCCATCAATATTAGTTCACCATGCTAGAGGCTTCCTCTAGTCATGTTTTGCCGTGCTAGAGGCTTACTCTAGTCACAAAACTCGGTGTTAGAGGCTTCCTCTAATCACCTTACATACTTTGTGCTGGAGGCTTCCTCCAGTCACATTACATTATGCTAGAGGTTTCCTCTAGTCATCCTACACTACGCTAGAGGCTCCCTTTAGTCGTCCTACACGAATGCTGGAGGCTTCCTCCAGTCATTCTTAATCGTGCTAGAGGCTTCCTCTAGTCACGATACTAACTCACTAGCAAATTCTATGCCTAGAGTTCCTCAATCTTGAGTAGCCAATGAGGCCTACTCCTAATGTAACTTAGTGGTTACCCATTCCTACCTTAAGAAATCTCATAAGACTACTTAAGGTGCATCTTTCACAATCCAAGCCCTTAGGATTTGTTCTATCACTCTTATACAACATTCCCGACTAGTAACTTAAATACTAATCCATTAGTCTTTAAACAGCCAAGCTTTTTAATTCATAGTTGTAAAGCTCATTCCTATAAATTTTCCGATCCGTATACGTATTAATCTCAATATCAAAAATATCACTCTTATCCATTCATGATTTCTATACATGAAGTAAAAGCATATTTTATCACAAAAATTCGTGGTTTGTACAATCCTTATACCATAATATTTATAATGCATCATCA